ATTTATATTTTAAAAAATTTGTTTAAGAAATATACATATTTACAAATAGGGGTGGCAATTCTTGACACGATACGAACCCCACTCATCGTCCTCGTCCTCTTCCTCGTTGTAATCTTCATCGTTCTCAGCATCATCATTTGGTATATCAATACGTGGTGTAGGACCAATGTCGATAAAAATCTCRCTTATGKGAATGGTGGTAGTYACGGGCTYTTGGTACGGTTCMTCTACCTCATAATATGGACCGACATTTATGTTTCGTGCAAGTGTAATCGTCTTGTATGTACCTCTATGAAAYATATGATGAACAAYTTTCCAACMGTTACCAAACATTGGATCATCGACGTAGAATACTTATTTTGCATGTAAGGCGAGACAAAAATTGACYGTCTTTGTAGCAATCAGWCTTTGTATCAATCGAAATCAGACCACGATCTAACTTTRTATTTTCTTYKTCATACCACCTACACTTAAACAACACGACCGACATTGCTTCCGRATAAATTAGCTCTACAACTTGTAGTAGAACCCCGTAGTATGACACGTCRTCTGCCAYTATCATMACCCCGCTATTTTGTGTCTTACAACTCTCATCTCGTTGTTCACATATGGGACATGCCTTGTATCCTTTCGTCTGAATACCCTTTCGTCTCAATACATCATCGTACGGGGACGTTTCCCTTTGACCATGCCATCTCATATGATCTGCAGTGTATTTTGAAGCTGCAACATCGGTGTCAAAGGCATTTATAATAACCATTCCAACTCACTGAAATCTTTTTAGCAAATTCCAAAAATGCATATATTCCAAAAATGTTATTTTTCTCGAATCTTTTTAAATTCATCCAACTTTTGTCCACATTTTCTGTCATATCTATATGTGAAAAATAAATGCATGCATATAGTAAGAGCTATAGATATTTTAAGACACGTAGTAATCCAAATTTACATGAGATAAACATGAAATAACTATAAAATTAGACAAAATACGATAATAATTACTTAATAATCTTTAAATGTCTTTTAATGATGAATACAACGTTTGTTGGAAGACAAAACTCACCAATATACTCCAAATCACGTCCCAAGCCTTTAGAACAAAATGTTGCAAGTGAAGATTAGATGTTGGAAATGGGGGAACTACAAACATTTATAACTGATTTTYATCTTAGGYAACATAGAAACAAGAATATATGTTGCCTAAGAYRRATCTAAAGCAACAAGCACAATAGMTTCTATGTTGCCTAATTATTATGTTTTTAAGCTTAGGCAACATAGAAACAAGAATATATGTTGCCTAAGTAAATTGTGATAAATCTTTTGTGCAATGCCAGTTGTCAATCTTGGAAGCATCAATTTGTTACCTTAGGCAACATAGAAACAAGAATATATGTTGCCTAAGTAAATTAGGTTGAATTTATAATATTTACCTTAGGCAACATAGAAATAGAAATATATGTTGCCTAAGTAAATTGGGTTGAATTTATAATCTTTACCTTAGGCAACATAGAAATAGGAATGTATGTTGCCTAAGTAAACTTTGTTAGATTTATGTTTTTACCTTAGGCAACATAGTATAAAAATATATGTTGACTAAGTAAACTTTGACGAATTTCAAAAAAAATATGAGTGACCAACATTGAACTAAGGCAACATAGGCTAATATGTTGTCTAGGATAAATGTAGACAACATAGAATCATTTATATGTTGCCTAAGGTCACACTTAGGCAACATAGAACCATATGTTGCATTAGTGGAAACTTAGGCAACATATAATAGCMTTTGTTGTCTTARCGTATCTTAAGCAACATATGCAATTTACATTTGTTGTCTAAGACAACATTTGGTGTAGTGTATGAGGCGAGCCGCGATTCTGAAACTCCATTGTATAAACAACTACACAAAAAGTGAATTTTGAAATTAATAAAGATAAACTATTAGTATGAACTTTTTGTTAAAATTATAATCATAAATGTAACATACCTGCCTGAACCTTACCGAATAATGCATTATCTCTCAACTCTTTAATAAGTGCATCAAGCTTCAGCTTAAATAACCGACAAAGGATATTAGGCCTATCTTCTGGATTTACCATGGTGTCTTTAGAAACCTTTTAATTTCTGGCCATTTAGGGTTACATGTCATAGTTACAAAAAAATCTGGATATCCATACCACTTACAAATGGACATAGCATCCAAATAGTTTTACATGATGTAGTGAGCACCACCGGTAAAAAAAGAAGGTAAAAATAATTTGTTGTCCAATGTCGGAAACATTCGTCTCTCCTTGTTCTTGTGCAATACGTAATTTATCATAAGTTTTGCACCTTAGAACTTTTTGTTGCTTACGTATGTAATGCAATCTCTCACTTTCAATCATCGTATAACCATCAACAATAAATTGTTGGAAAAGTCTTTTTGCATTGAGAATTAATGAGAAAATATTTATCCTATCTTGAAGTCTGAAGGCAAACAACACCATCATTGTTACGGTTGGTATTTTTATTTTTGCTTGAAAACATTATACCTCTATGATTTAGCAAAAATATCTTCTTTTTTTCCTTTTACTCACAACACAGATCTCGTACAATTCTTTCCTAATAAAAAAATACCAAGGTCCATGGATTTTTTAATCTTGCCCCAATGAAAACAATTTTAACCCATAAAAGATTTAAAACTCCTATAGTCCACCATGATGCTTTGTATTTTTTTTTTCCTTCATCTACTGTTTAGTAGTACGTTTTTGTCTTTGATGTCAATTTCTGTTTAGATGCAGCCTGAATATGTAGAAACTCAAAACTTCAAAGTTGTAGCCCCATCTGTTGGATTTCCAGAATAATTTGAATCACCTTAGGAGCTCGGATGAGTGAAATATGGTTGAAACGCCACACATCGCAAATCTGTCAAAAATCCTTTTTTTTGCTCTTTTTTGCCCAACATGTTCCGAACTTATCAAAATATTAAAACACATCAAAGTTGTTCGGTTTTACCATTTTAGGGAGGGGTGCTTGACGAGAAAATAAAATGATTTGAATTTAAACTTAGAAGTAAATCCCCTTTTTTTGGGATTACTATACACAATGGGAAAAAAAATTGAATTTAGATATGAAACTATATCAATAATTAGTTAAAATTAAGTTAACCTTACAATAAAATTGAATTTAGAAATAAAACTATATTAGTAATTTGAATTTAAACTTAGAAGTAATCCCTCTTTTTTTTAATTAGTTACCACATGAATTAATTAATTAACCCAAAAATAAAATCAATTACATCCTAAATTAGTGGGATTGATTGAATAAGAAAACACTTGTCAATCAAATGAGTCTAACTGAACTACTTATGTAAATTGTGTCCAAATACGTGTTTAGACGAAAAAACACTAAAATCGGCTCACCAAAAGATGACACATATCACTCCAGTTACTTATTTATTATAAGTATAGGTATATATTATGTATACATAATTGTTTATCAAATGTAATTAGTTAATACCTTATTGATTATTTATTAACTTATTTGTTTCCTTTACAAGTTTTATATTACATATTCCTTATTTGAGTTATTTTCTTTTATCTTTCGTTCAAACATTATAACCAAATTTATTCTGAAGTTAACATTTCAGAAGTTATCAAATTAATTACCAAACTCTTTAATTTGCATTATACTATTTTTAATTACGTATTTCATACGTATTAAATCTATTTATTGTATGTCCACAAACATCCTTATCATAATCCATGCCACTTGAACTACATCTCTTGTACTTGGAATGTTGGTCAAGAATGTATAACACACACATAATTAAGTTATAAGACACACGTAAGTTATAACATATTTATATATAAAGACACTTATAGGAGATTGTTATTCAAGGTGAAGTAAATTCCTCATATCTTATAGTTGTAACATTACAGGCCTTCTTCTCTTATATCTGATAGCTGTAACATGCCTTCTTCTCTTATATCTGATAGCCGTAACATGCCTTCTTCTTACAGAGAAATGCCCCTCCAAACCGGTTATGAGGTAGGGCCTTCTTTGCCTCAAGCATGAGCAAAATTTAAATGTAACATGTTTTATTATAAAACTTGTTAGGTCGTTAAATATCGTCCACAAACATGTTGATCATACAATCTTTATATACAATTTTCATAAAATATTTTGTTACAATAGTTATAATTAAGCCTCTTTTGTTGTAATGGAATTGTGTTACAACTTCTCCGACAACTTATCTATAATTTCACTAAAATAGAGAACTAAAAGTCAAAATTTCTAAAATAAATTATAATCAACTCCAAGAGCTTCTCTATTTTAGAGATTTTATCATTAATTATATTATTTAAATATTCTATAATTTTATGGTACAATACATTTTTTAAATATATATATATATATATAATAATATTAATTCAACCCTCGTTGGTGGGATAATTAAAAAACTCATTTCTCTCTTTTTTTTTCTTCGGATTTTTGGAGAATTCTCTGTATCTCTACAAATTATCAATGAGTTTAAAAACATGCCTATTTATAGCTTACAACCAAGCTTAATTAAAAAGCAAGAAAATTCAGCTGACAATAAACATGATTGGCCTTAATTAAACAACAACCACCGCAAATCTAGAAATCTAATTAAGGAGAAAATAACTTATAGGAGCAACGGTAAGAATGACATCTGAGCTGCCAAATTTTCATCAATCTTCAACAAAAATTTCATCCCTTCAAAACTAGTTTCCAGAAAAATTCTTTAAACCCATATGAATTAAGCACATGAAACATGCCAGGCTCTATACAAATCATCCTGAAATGTACGTAATATTCTGGATCCAATTTCTGTGGTCGTTAAAGATTGCAATGGTGCGACAAAGACAAAAACACTGTGCCCCTGCTATAAAAACAAGGAAAGATCACATGTGAATGCAATTATCTTGAGATATGGGGCTCAACCTATTAATTTCTCGATGAGGAGGTCACACTCATCGACATCTTGTCTATAAGTAGATCGATCTGTTTAGGATCATTTCCATATGATAATTAGACAACCGGCCTTATTCTCAATCTCTTTTCTGGATTCACCAAAAAAGGGGGGAAATGGGTTTTGGTGTTGAAGCTTTGGTTTCAATGTTAATGGTAGCAACACTATCTTCGTTCGCCGCTGCTGTTCCGCAGGTCCCTTGTTACTTCGTGTTTGGTGACTCGTTAATGGATAATGGCAACAACAACGACCTTGTTACGAACGCGAAATCAAATGTCCCGCCCTATGGGATCGACTTTCCTGATGGTCCAACCGGCAGGTTTTCGAATGGTCGAAATACTGCAGATGCCATAGGTCTCTTTCTATCTTTCCTTTCTATGGCTCTTCTTTATTATAATTTGAATGGTGCTAACTGCTAAGGAAATGGATCGATGTCCATAACCTTCAATGAATTATCTTTAGGAAAATGGGTTTAAAATGGAGTTCGAATATCATGTGCTAGTTATTAACAAATTTAAATGGCATGTTTGTTGGCTATGGAGAACCTGTTGAATTTGTGTTTCGTATGAATTCATAAGACAAACGTATCAAAAGAATCATGAAAACATAGAAATCAAAAGGACGATATATGTATATATATGGAACTTTACACTTGTGTTTTAACATTTGGATAATCCTATTCTTCCCAGCTCAACTACTAGGATTTGAAAGCTACATACCACCTTTCGCAACCGCAAAACCTGAAGAAATATCTCGGGGAGTAAATTATGCATCAGGTGCTGCTGGAATTCGCGATGAAACCGCCGAACATTTGGTGGGTTTTCACTTTTCTCTGTGTGTGTATATATATATATATACACACTTGATGTACAGTAGGAATCCATTTCATGCATGCATGCATGGATATCTCTGATACAAGTTTACGTAATTAAAGTGTATATGCATTCAAATCCCAAGTGTGGTCAAATAAAAAAAAATGCTGATTCAAGCGTTCCCAGAGGAAACATGCTCAAACTCTCTCTCTCTTTCTCTCTCTATATATAAGGAAAGTTCAAAAGAAAACGTTAACTACTTAATAAAACAAGAAAATGGTCGTTAATGTACAAAACACATCTGATTTTACATTAACGTCAAAAAAGTGGAAATGAATGACTTTTGAACCTGTATGATTTTGTATGTGAACATACACATACATACATACATAGACGTGAATCATATATGATTTTATACATTAACGACTTTTTTCATGTTTTCTTAAATAATTAGCGTTCTCGTTTGAACATGTATATATATATATATATGTACTGAATGTATTGAATATTGAATCGTGACAGGGTGGTAGGATAAGCATGAACCAGCAACTAATAAATCACGCCACCACGATTTCGCGGCTAAACGGGAGTTCATCCCAAGTACAAAAACACCTCAACAAATGCATATACACCGTCACAATGGGCAATAACGACTTCATCAACAACTACTTTTTGCCACAATACTATCAAACCAACACCTTATACACACCCCAGGAGTACGCAAACATCCTCGTCCAACAATACACCCAACAGCTATCGGTCGGTACTTCGATTCCACACATCCCTACCAATTTTATTTTACCGTTAACCTAATCGTTTTATCGATCGTTTGCATTTCTAGAAACTGCATCAACAAGGAGCGAGAATGTTTGGTATAGCTGGAGCTGGATACTCTGGTTGTGCACCTGCGATCATGACCAGATATAAGACAAATGTATGTGTGGATGAAGTAAACCTTGCTGTACTAGAATTCAACACAAGGCTTGTTACTGCTCTTAAAGGCCTTGAGAGTCGGCTCTTTGGTTCAAAGTTCATTTTCATTGAGCCTTCCCTTGGCTACTCTAGTGGTAAGTCTTGATTTTTACTGATTGGTTTGATACATTATATATGTATTATTATATTAAGAGTTCTTATGATATAGTGTAAAATAAAATATAATTGTTTGGTAATTGTTAAGAATGAAATTAGGACACTGAATGATCAAGGGAGACACAAGATACAAAATCATTTAGAAGGTTTTACAATCATTAAGAAATAGACTTTTTTTTACCAAACAAAAGTATGCTCTTAACGATTCATAAGAAGCCACATCTTAATAGAACTATTAAGAAGTGAAGGAACAACTGTATTATTAAGAACCAAAGCCACTTTATTGCTGCTAATTAATTAGGATTGCTAGCTATTTATTTTAAACAAATTGTTTGCTAAGAGAAGGGAAATTTTAACTCCCATAAAATAAAACCTCATATCTAAAAGTATTATAATAGATTTATAAGATGACTTAACAAGATTTTAAGGACATTTTAAAAATAAAGTGTCGTATTAGCTCATTTATATTATACTTTTGAAAAACATACAATAAACCCTTTTTTTCATATATAGGACATTTGTGTTCATACAACACGTTTTCCAATAATATTATATAAAATAGTTAACACAACACTTTATTTTTAAAATATTCTAATAAAATATCCAAAAAAGTACTATAAACCTTATGTAACACTGTGGATTAGTTTTTTTTGTATCCTCGCCCTTATTGCATGTCTTGAGCTCTTGCTCTGCAATTTCTTGTCAAAAAAGATCCACAAAATATGTTTCAATGAAAAATTTGTTTCAATGAATTGTCTTTTTCAAAAAAGTCTGTGAGTTAAATGACCTTCTTAAAATTTCTGTTAAATCCATAACTTTCTGACAGGTTTTAACGATATTACTTTAATACATCAAAATGGCACAAAAACTTATCAAAAGGTTATGTTGTTAAATAAAATTTGGTTTAAGCGAAGGTCAATGACCTAAATAGTACAAAACTTGCAAAAACAAATTATGAATATATATATTTCATGTCTCCCTAAACTTGTTCGCAATTTGCGAGTCTTATTATGTTGTTGAAGGTAGAGGGTAGTATGGAGGATGTAATCACACTTGTTCTTTACCTTAACAAATAAAAAAGTTTCTGAGAAGACACGCAACCCTCTGAAAGGAATTTAGAAGGCTTGGCAATAAGTTTTGACAAAAATAAATAAATATTTATTTATTTAGTTAGTTAGTTAATTACTCATTATTATTATTATTTATATTTTATTACATAACGGGACTTTTTCCGACGAAAAATTTCGCTGGAAATCTGCCGGAAAAGGGGTTTATCGGCGGAATTTCCGTCAATAACACCCTCGCCGGATTTGTCAATTACCGTTGGTAATCCGCTGAAAAATTAACAAGAATAAATTTTCATTTTCTTTAAAATAATCAGTGACGGTTTTATGATGGAAATCATTTACTTTTTCTTATGACCACAAATGATTTACGGGTGAAAAATCCACCGAAAAGAGTCATGTTTTTAGTAGTATTTTCTTGACACAATAGATAATATTCTCAAATTGTTGGATAATACTGTGTTTAGAGACACAATTAAACATTATACAGAGGTTGTCATTTACTTATTCAGTTTATAAGAGTAATAACAATGAAGTAAATAAGTAAGGAGAGAGGTTGTATTTTAATTATATATATGTATAATTGGTCCATAATTCATTTATTTACAATTTTTTTTATTTTTAAAACATAAATATCCAATCAATTACAAAATCCATAAATAAGTAGTAGCATATTTTTATTCTGAATGTCAAACCTTTCTTATTGTTTACCATGTTTGATTATATATATATATATATATATATATATATATATATATAATAAGTAATTAATTTATTAAAATAATCATACTTGAAATATCGTTAATAGAATAATAGAGGGATTTGAGATCTGGATGCATAGGTTTAGAATTCTAATTTGGTTCATAAGTCTTGTTATTTAGGTTACGTTTACTCAAACGCTTACGCGGTAAGTGTTTACCAATAGGAGTTAACACTATAATTTATTTTGATGCGTAAGATTTTAGTACATCAAAACATATCGAATGCAAAAATTTCCTGGGTAAGCGCTTACCTGGGTAAGATTCGTCATCCTCACTTACCGGGTAAGACTCTCCATCATTCTCATCGCTCTTACCCGGTAAGATTCTTGGCCCTTCTCATGTTCATTCAATGAAAAAATTTATGACGTTAAACACTTACCAAGTAAGTGTTTAGTAAACGGCCCCTTAGTAACATTAACAAATTTATTGGGTAGGATATTCAAAAATCTTGTTATACCATTTGATCCAATTTGTCTGCTTGCATTATTCAGATTTCTCTGTTACGGATAAACCTTGCTGCATCGTCTCAACCACAATTGAGGGCGAAGGCCAATGTATTCCTAACGAAGTCCCCTGCAGTGGTAGGGAAAAGTACGTGTTTTGGGACGCATTCCATCCTACCGAGGGTGTTAGCCTTGTTGAGGGAGCACGAATATATAAAGCCCTCTCCCCATTCTATGGTCTTAAGACTAATGCAGCATCAATGGCAGCATCAATCGCGTTATCGGAAGTAGCCGAGGTTGATGAGATTTAATTAACAGTCGAATTAAGATTATATGCACGTGTTGTTCATTAACTGATGCCTAAAGTATCGCTATGGCATTATCAATGTTTCACTTCTAGTCCAATAATTTGCATGGATCTTAATTAGGCAAAACAAATAAATAACAGTAAGTGTCTTGTATCGTTTATCTATGATGTTATGCCATGAATATGATTGCTTATTCATAATAATTTGCTGATACCAATTGTTAGTCCCACAATACGAGATCAATCTTCAATAATACTCATGAATCTATGGCAAATTCATAATATCATCAAGAACATCTATGAAGGAGTTGAGAGAGAGTCAAACAATCAAAGCTTCTATTAATCTCTCAATATTACGAATATTACAAATGAGCTCTTCTTACTTCTAATTACACTAGAAGACAAATTATATATAGGGTCAAACATTGAAGCCCCTAGTCAGTCAACATTACAAACAAAGTCAAACATGCTAATATTACAATTATAGACTTTCAAGACGAATACAATTTATCACTAAAATTCAGTCCTAACATCGACTGCTACTGAGGTGTTTGAGCGCACTCACTGCACGAACCGGAAGTTCGATCAAGGTTCGTCCGACCCGCCTACCGATCCTCCTTAGTTCAGTTACCCCAAAGCTACTAGGTATCATGTAAGTTTTCTAAAACCATTTATTTGGTTAATAGATACATTTGGTAGGTTTAAGGTAATATATTTTAATAAACATAGTGATGCTATTAGTTTGGGCTGCCATTGTTGGGCAGACGTTAGGCTAAGTAGATAGGTTGAGAATGTGATTACCATTGGTATTATTAGAATGTTTAATTGTTAAAAACAGACATTGGTTATGTTTGATTTACAGCCGTTATGCTGCTGAAATTTCTACATATATAACATCACCCGTTTTTGTTTTGGTGAACAATAGAAGCGATTTCAATCGCTTAGGGGTGAGTCACAATCTAGTACCAACAGCCCTTCCCCTGATGAGGCATCTCTTTGGGAGCAAAGTGTCGGAGGACGGAGGAAAGGCCGCATCTTTGGTTTCAGGACCACCTAGGATCCCTCTTATGCTATGACGGGTAGATGTAGCAGTAGCGAGTTATCATACGAGTCAAGAGCAGAGGTATATTGGTTATATTGTTATAAACTTTCTCATTAACAAATTACTAATTTTCTCGAATATTGAATATATATATAGGTAACGAAGTTGAGAGAGAAGTTGGCAACGGTAGAGGAGGAGGCACAGTTGCGGGAGGAACGCCATCTGGCCGAGATGGAGGACGGAAGGAAGAAGAGGGAAGATTTGGAAGCTGAACAGGCCAGACAAGCTGATGCATTAGCCGAGTAGGCCGCCTTATCGGAACATTTTGCTGCGTTTATGCGACAGTCAGGATACGTTTCCTCCATCCCCCACCTTCCGGTAGTTAGATTGTATGTATTTGAAGACTAATTGTATGAATTTAATATTTTAAATTGTATGAATTGTATATTTTAAATCGTATGAATTGGTTAGTTTTATTTTGTTCACAGTTTTGGTTTGTTATATTATTTACAGATTTTGTATAAATAAATACAGGAATTATGTTGTTGGTCCCGTAAGGGTCTATAAGAAGAGAAACAATTTGTAAAGGGGGGGATGAATACAAACACAATATTTTCAAATTTAAAATATATATTGATAGAGAAGATCAATACAGATTTTACAAGATTGTTTGCGAAAAGATAAGGTAATAAAAACCTATCTAAACAATCTTTGGTAACACACAAAGCTTTAGCAATTACAAGAAAAGAAGTTGCTAAAAGAAAGATCATTTACTTAAGCTAGAAGATGCTTGAAGTAAGAATAAGGTTAGAGAGAGATGCGCGCTCTCTGCATGGAGAAGAAACACTTCTATGTATACCCAGTGCATTAAATGTCCATTTAATGCAATATGGTAGGTTTAGAGTGCGTGTCAAACCTTAAGAGGAAGGCTT